AAGAGGATGGAAAAGAAAGAACGAGCTCAATTTAAAACCGTGAAATTCCATGCCAGGATGGGGATGATTGAGTCTAACAGGTCGATCACAACAAAACATAAAAAGACTTTCCACCTTTCTCGAAAGTTTCCATTTTACAAGAGCAAAGAAAACATGGTCCAGGAGAGCATCATACAACAGGGAGTGACATCCAATGCCATTGACAGCAAAAGCAGTTCCAAAGGACAAGAGGATGCTATTTTGTCATATGAGCCAGCGACATGACAAGAAATTTCACTATGCAAGGCCCTTGATCATCCTGGGCCCAATGAAGAACTGAGTCAACAATGACTTGATCTCTGGGTTGTCACATATATCCTGTGTGCCACATACTACCCAGCCTCACAATGATAATGAAGTAGATGGACAAGACTACCACTTTGGTGTTCTAAGAAAAAATGGAGAAGGATATCCAGGAAAACAATTTCACTGAGGGAGGCCAATTCAATGATTATCTCTATGGGACCAGCATCCAGTCAGCACGGGAAGTTGCAGAGAGCGGCAAGCACTGCATCTTAGATGTTTCTGGAAATGCTATCAAGAGACTGCAGCAAGCACAACTTTACCCTCTTGCCATTTTCATCAAGCCCAAGTCCACTGAAGCCCTTATGGAAATGAACCAACGGCAGACATACAAACAAGAGAATAAGATCTACGACAAAGCCATGAAACTGGAGTAGGAGTTTGGAGAATACTTTACAGCCATTGTACAGGGTGACTCACTGGAAAAGATTTATAACAAAATCAAACAAATAAATCATTGAGGACCAGTCTGGGCACTTCATTTGTGTCCCATCCCCTGAAAAACTCTGAAGAATCCTCTCCAGCCATTCCCTTGTGAACAGAAGAAATCAGGTCCCTCTTCCCTTCTCCCTCTTCATTCCTGTACCCATGAGGAGAACAAACGCTACTGTTCTTGTCCCCTTTTTCAGATATGTCAAAAAAACTGAGTTTAAAGTTTTGTGCAGTGGCAGTATCGTAGCCAATGTGGTTTATCCGAGGCTGGATTATTGCTAATTGAAAACCTTTCCCAATACCCCGCCATGAGGACTTGAAATATAGTC